AAACAGAAAGTACAATGTGTTAGATACTATGAACGTCCTTTTTTAAGAATAAATAAATAATTGAAAAAAAAGAAAGAAAGAGAGAGAGAGAGAGAGAGAGAGAGAAACAGAGAGAGAAAAGACAGAGAAAGAAGGTAACAAAAACATCTTAAATTTCTCGAGTAGGTACTATTAATCGATGATAGAGTAGCGCAACGAAAGGATGGAGGATGTAAAAACAAATACGAAACGTAGACTTTGGGATATACGAACTAGGAAATAAAGTCTCTCTCTTAACATAGAATAAGCAAATGCGTTCACGTGGTTCATGTTTGTTTGTTTGTGTGCGTCTGTGCGTACGTGCGTACACGTATATCCGCATAATGAATGGTACGTATTCTTTCACACAAACACATACGTACGTACGTAATACACGAAACACAAACAGATATGAAAATACATAAACTCGATGGTATGATAGAGTTTGTGAATTATCAGAGAGAATCGAAGCTCCCACGGTTGTCCTAGACCAAACATATATATTAATATATACATAATATATATATATATAAACGAAATGTAAATAACCAAAGAGGCATAGGGTTGTACGTATGTATATCCTAGGTAAGCTACATCACTCGCAACGATCGATTTCAAGTAACTTGGCTCTGTTCCAGATACTACCTCGTTAAATTTCGAACGATTTCCCGCTTCGCATGCTTAAAATCGGCCCTCACATTTATTTTTTTATATTTCCTCTTCCTTCTCTTTCATACAATATATTATTATCAGTTGATGGTTAAGTTCACGACTAAACCACTCTTGCTTGTGGCTCGTTAAATTTGTCCAACGTGATGCGTATTTCGACACCCACCAGTCGTTACTCTTTACCCCGTCGTTCCCCATTCTCCCACATGACGGCGATACCGAGTGGGCGATGAAAACAAATACAACTTGTTTATTATTATAAATTTTTTCTATTGGTAGAAACACAGAAAAGAGCGGGACGATATATCCTTTCCGAAATAGCTCAACTGATTACACTTTGAATCTTGATTATTCCATTTACGATGTTGTTCATTCATGAAGTTATTTCTAAAATAACTAGATAATCCGAAGAAAACTAGTGCTCTAGAGTTTTAATTTATATTAAAAAAAAAAAAAAAAAAAAAAAAAAAATTTGCTTTACAAATCATTCAGAAGTAACCTTGAAATGAGAAGATACAAATCGATTTACTCGAATAAATTCTTTCGATTTCCAATACAAATTTATTTTTTATCTATTCACAAAGAAAAGATAAAAAAGAAAAGAACAAATAAAAATAATAATAATAATAATAATAATAATAATAATAATAATAATAATAATAATAATAATAATAATAATAATAATAATAATAATAATAATAATAATATGAATAAACTTGCTGATTTATTCGCAGTGAATTGAAGAAAATATCACAAAGAAAAGCCAACGTTACTGAAATAAACATCGAGATAGAGAAAGATAGAGCGAAAGAGAGAGGGAAAGAGAGAGAGAGAGAGAGAGAGAGAGAGAAAGAAGGGAGAGAGAGATATCGGAGGGGTGCAGTAAGAGTCAGTTTTATCAATAAACGCGTGTATGGCTAAAGGAGGATGTTATACCCGTGACCACCAGCAATGATATCGATCGGTGGCAACCCTCTCCGACTCCCTCGCTTCGTTCGTAGCGCGAGCTGCAACGTGTCGGCACCTATACGTTACCGGGTTAACCGAGTACAGCTGCACTCCAACGGGGGTAAGACAAGCTTTACGTTTGAACTTGCGTTTGACCTGGTCACGAGGCTGTCGCTTCTTTCTCTCTCTCTCTCTCTCTTTCTCTTTCTCTTTCTCTTTCTCTTTCTCTATTGCATTGCCTCTTTCAGCCAGAAGGATACCTTTCTCTCTTATTCACTCTATTTCAAATCTTCAGTACATCCTCCTTCCTCTCTCCTTTAGCAACGAATGAAACGCAAGGTGGCGTTTCACTACTTTCCAACCCTTCGGCACACGCCCGAACACCGATCCTCTTCTCTCTCTTTCTCCCTTTCTCTCTCTCTCTCTCTCTGTATCTTTCTTGTTTGCTTTTGGTATCTCTCTCTCTCTCTCTCTCTCTGTCTATCTCTTTCTTGCTTGTTCTGGATATATATATATATCTCTTTCTCTTTCTTGCTTGCTTTTGGTACATATATGTGCATATATATATATGTATATATGTATACATATATATATATCTCCCACTTACTGGAGCATGATAGGAAGATATAGGTCAGTGGGTTATCACCACGGGGATCGTTCTCCATTACCGGAAGCTTTTCTGACCAATTGCATCTTCGAAAGGACAACTGGACTGAGGATAAGTTCGTGGCTAGAAGGGTGGGAGAAATGAAAAGGGAAAAGAAAAAGATGGAAGACGAATTCGTACTTTCCGTTTGTTAAGCTTCTTAACGGAGACTTCGAGTTGTTTACGTGCTCTGTTTATTCGTCTTTTCCTATCAGGAATTAAAGAGATCCTTGAAAGAAACCGGAACAAACGGGGCTGGGTGGGTGAATCGAAGCGGTGCAATCTGGTAAGAGATTTATTTATCGCGAGCACAGTTCTTTGTGACGTCTCACTGTCTCTCGATTTCCATTGTAATTTTCATTACAAATAAATAAATGTATTGTACATATGCATATATATATATATATATATATATATATATGATATGTAATATAATATATTGCGTTAAATAAATATAATGATCGTAGAAAGTATTCGTGTAAAGAAAAAAAAAAGAAAAAAAAAAGAAAAAAAAAGAAAGAAAGAAAAAGGGGGAAACAGAAGGAAATAAAAAAGAAAAATATAAAAAGAGAAACAAAAATGAAAAAGCGAAATTAATTGTTTCAACTTTTTGAAAAAAAAAGAAAATAAAAGAAAACAAAGAGATAGAAAAGAGAAAGAGAAAGAGAAATATAGCATGAGACATAAAAATGTCACGTTAATCGATTCGCATGTAGCGCCACATGCAACTGCATTATACGCATACACATATACGTATATACAATATGTACGCAGCGCACGTTAGTGTAGCGCGCGACTCTTGCAAAGTTATTACAAAAGCTACTTCATTCAACGCTCCGTGAAGTAGAAGTGGCACTACCTCTTACCACCCCACCCTCCCTCACTCTTCTTTCTCACACCTTCTATCCTTGCACTATCACCGACGTCCTGTTCCATCCCCTACGAAGATATATATATACGTACATACATACATCGAAACGTAATTTTCACTTCTCGAGCGCGCCAGAGCGCTACTTAAGAAAATGCAATTTGCCCTGAGGAGCGGACAATCTGACCTATCGCGCCTTGCTATAAATAAAGATTGCCGTTCTTATTTTAGGATGAAAATTAGCGTGGGTCTCGGACAGTCTCGTCACGAGCCTCCTCGGTTATTTTCGTCGTCACCAAGACGACATATGCATATACTCTCTCTCTCTCTCTCTCTCTCTCTCTCTCTCTCACTTTCGATCAAAATATTTTATTCCGAAAGTGTAAAAAAATCGACCCCGATTCTTCGAACTAAACGAAAGTATCGTTGGACAGAAAGAGTAAAAAAAAAATTGACGTTCAGTGAAGAATGGATTAATCGAATAGCTAAATAGAAGATTAGGAACGACGATTATCTAATACAATCGTAAAGGGAGGAAGAAATTTATCGAATGGAGATTTAAGGATGAAGAAACGATGATTGCATCGATTAAGATTTAGTTCTTAACGCCATGTCTAATTTCATTACATTACTATCCAAATGTATTTAGTCCGACGGACGGATGAGAGAAGTCGAAGGTCAAGAACGAGAGAATGAACTCGGACTTCGTCAAGGGATTTTCTTCGCCTTCGTTTTATCTTTTCAATTCGTCATTCGATTTGTCATTTTTCAAGTATAAAAGAACTTGTTAATAACGTTATCAAAAATTCAAGATTAATAGATACGACGAAGAGAAAGTATGGACAGTCTTATAATTAAAAGCAAACGAGATAATATCTTTCGTAATTTTGTACAATAACGATTCTCAATTTGGATAATTGAAATCTTAATACTCATAAGTACGTATAAATTTCCATATAACGTGTGTATTTTTCTTGGCTGTATGATGGAAACTCTTATTTGAGATTTTGATATATCCGTGACGAAACGATGATCTGACGTGTACGAATCATCAACGATCTTTGGAATCGTCATCCAACTTAGATAACAACGGTGAATCATAGTCTCTGCTTGAAATAAGAATCTTCGTCAATGTATACCTTCTCTCTCTCTCTCTCTCTCTCCCTCTCCCTCTCTCTTTCTACTCTTTCAAATCTTCTCTGCTGAGTATATATAAAAAAAAAAAAAACAAAAAAAAAAAAAAGAAATGAAGTACTGCTATGAGAGAGTTATACGAAAGGGAGGATGAGAGGTAGCCGAGAGGGTACCAGGCAAGAAAGTTTTACATCCTGAGATGGCGTACATCCAATTTTACGTCGTTTTGCGCCAACGGCAGATTGAACCGGGTTTATCTAATTCGACTATTTATACAAGTAAACGCGAAATTCAACGATGGAAAACTACCGGCCTACGTGTCAGCGACGTTTCACCCTTCTTTCCCTTTTCTTTTCTGACATAAAACGAGAGGATTCTAACGATCGTATGGATATTGTGTATTTGATACGCGAATACGAAAGAAAAAAAGAAAGAAAGGAAGAAAAAAAGAAAGAAAGAAAGAGAGAGGGAGATAGAAGATAATAGAAGAATATATCCAAGGACTATTAGAAAATCCTTCAGAATTTTTATAATCCGATAATACATAGAGTATCTGATTTATGATATCTTTTTACGATATTAATTAATTAAAAAAAGAAAAATTATTATATTATATAGATAAATGTTATAATATATACATATATATATATATATAACTAACACAAAGAAAATCTTTCGATAATAATCTACGCAGAAAGCAAACAACATGGCGTAAGT